CTACTCAACTATGATCGGTCTGCCGCGCGCGCAGCACTAGTTCATTCAATTCCTTGTTCCTATTGTGCAATTTAATTATATTCATATCAATAAATATTCTACCGAGAAAAAGACGTTGTCACGTAAAATCTTCGCCCGTAAAAACGACTTTACAGGCAACCATTTTTTTTTTTTATGGGACAAGCCCGCTACATCCTCCCTAAACCGCTGCAACTCCTGTAAGCCAGGATCTACAGTAGATACAACCATGAAAACACCAGAACACTGAAGTCCGGCGCATCCCAGGTACATGAGTAACTGTCTTGGTTCCCGCAACGAAGTGAATCAGAAGGCCGTGGTATCACTCCTATCGAGCCGGCCTATTTACGCGTACAGTGCCCATTCCCATGAGGTTCTAGTGAACTTTCCCGGGCCTTCACAATCGTTGTACCGAATTTCAATGTGATAGATACAGTGAACCAAAAGATACCCGGGTTTTAACGCATAGTTCTCGTTTCCGTGGAATATCTGGAATAGAAATATTAAACGTCGCATTAAAGGTCTCAAATTAACGTTACTACTTAATTTCACTTAAATAGGTTCAGTGGTTTATCAGATAGAGTTCCGGTACTTTACTGCATAGTTCCCGTTCCCGTAATGTTACCGGGATGAACACTAATATACGTCTATTCTTGGTTCACAAACTATCGTTGATCTAAATTTCACTCAAATAGGTTTAGTGGTTTAAGATGTAGAGAGTAAAGCGTAGTTTACGTTCTCGTAACGTCAACTTCCAGGTTAAAATAATTCTATGCTTTTATCAATTATCAAACTATCTATGCACCAAAGGATCAAGGGCACTCTAGTAGGTATGAACGCTGGGCCCATTTTCAAAGTCGTCCAACAGTGATGAAACCTATGTAATATGAAAGCTCTTGAAGAATACTTCATTCCATCTTATGGCAGCTAAGTTCAAATCCAGCGCGAAATTGGTGATTTGCTACGCATGACGAGTTTGTTATGCACTGGTTTTCTTATTACATGATAAGTATTGATTTCATGTTGTGTAATCTTTAAGTCAGCTAAATTTACTTGGTTTAGTTTATAGGTCGCATCGTTTAACATATTTTTCATACATGTCGTAGCTTAGCGGCTAGTAAGTAGACGCACTGTCAGAAACTAGCTCAAACATGAGACTTAGAGGTAGACTAAATTAACTTGTTTTAGGTAATGGAAATGTCTCATCATCATCAACAGTCTATAAAGTGCTCATTGTTGACCAAAGACCTCTTCTCCCATTAAGAAGATGTGAGCATTAATCCCCATGCTTGCCCAAGGACGGGTTTGCGATTCCAAACCTAAATACTTCATAACTTCTTGCATACATTGCGTAAACACACACACAATACTTACATGCAATATTAATATTTCCTAATTATTGTTTAACACCTTGAACGCCATGGGACAAGGTGTGGGCCGACAGCGGAGGATTAACCCTCAGATTAACAGTTTTCTGTCGGCAGTCAAAAGCTTAATGATAATTGCAAAAATTTTAACGCACAAGTGCGGCACGGTATTAATAGCTTTGTATAACAGAATTATTTAATTGTACATCTGTGATAGCAACTAATGTGTTCCTCAAGTAATAGTTAGTATTTATTTTATTTAAGTTTATATCATGTGTAAATAAAGATTTTTAAGTTTTTATATGTCTCAAATCTTCGATACGTAATAAGACCATTGTTATTGCATAAACCTATTAGTAAATAATGCGATATTCTCGACCCAATATTTTTAAGGTTCCCCTCGTCTACACAAAGTATTGTGTATGTTTTAAGTATGTAATGTAATATATTGGTTGTTCATAGGAGATAGGGTTGTGCTGTTAAGGACAGTTTTGTAGATCTTTTTAAGATGTACTTATACTACCTGATTGTATTTAATTTCTATAGTAGGTACAATATTTTGATCTATCTCGTAGAGTTCAGCCTGCGTTTACAATATAAGCGAAAATAATTTAATTATTTCATTTCACTATAATTATTTTAATTTCATAAAACTTTTATTTTTTTATTAAAAATTTATAATAATTAAAATTATTAAAATAAATTGTTGAAGTTGTTGATTGCTGGTTTAAATAAATGATGAGCACTTTTCTAACGTAATTTTATTTAAGAAACTTAACAAGCCACATTGCGACGCCATTCAATGCGCCATCAAGACAAGGTGACACACTATTGACGTAGGAACGGGGGGGTTCTTAGTCAGTAAGAGTCTGACACTCCCTCCCGCCTCACCCGGGCGGGAGCAGTCATTCGATGATTTTCGCCATCGAAAAAAAAGGCACACACCAAATGGCGTTGACTTGTAACATTCGATGATGCTGAAGATTATAAAATTTACATTATTACAACAAAAATAATGAGCGGTATTATGCATGTTAACCTTCCTTCCTCTTGAATGTAATAAAAAATAAAACTCAATCTATCTAATAAAAAACTGCATCAAAATAAGAACGGACAGCGGAAAGCGATTTTGTTTTATACCAGGTATGTATGGTATGTACTCATGTCTGAAGAACACAGATTTTAGAAATGCTAAATCATTTTCGCTCTTGTTCTGAGCTCAGCTGCCATAAAATGAAAAAAAGCATATTACATGTGTTTTCATATCTATATAAATAAAAATGAATTTCTGTTCGTTAGTCTCGCTAAAACTCGAGAACGGCTGAACCGATTTGGCTAATTTTGGTCTTGATAGGTTCGTGGAAGTCTAGGGAAGGTTTAAAAGGTGAGAAAAAACTTTCAGGCGGTACGAAGTTTGCCGGGTCAGCTAGTAAGATATAATTATAATTCATCACTGTTGAGCAATGTAGAAAATGCGCCCAAAGTGCCCAGTCAGGTTTTATAAATGGAGAGTACCGGCCGTTTACCCGCATAATTCCCGTTCCGGGAGATTTCCGAAACTATTTTATGACCTTTTGGAGGACTCGCAGCCAAACAGCTTTCTGACAATATTTCTTTTCCTGTGCGTTTTACGAGAAAAACGTTGATCACAAAATATAAGTAACCACAATTTTCTACAATTTATGTCCCGACAACATTTTTGTAATATATTAAGAAAGAAATTCCATTTATTGCGCCACGACACACAACAAGAATACAGGTACAGAATATAGGCAAAATTTTTATCTGCCACATTTTGATCTCTCTTAATCTCACTCAAGGGTCACTAGAATATAAATACACTAGCATAACTTTTACCAATATTTTTGTGTGAGTTCTCTACGACCTATACTTTCTGTGTGTTGTCTGTCAGTCTGGCAGTAACACAGTAACGGAAACGTTATAAACATATTTCAGTCTAAGTGATTAATTTCTCATTACCTATACATAATAACCAAGTCAACGTGCTAAACTAATCAGTTCATTCAGTTATTATAAATAATAGCAGGCCCAAGTTAACGAAACGAGCAGGGTGGTGTAGTACAAAACCAGGGCATGGATCATTAGCCACGGTATCCGCCCGCCGCTATTCGAAACGTTCTTTCCGTCATGGGTCATCGTTTTTGTGGTTTTCGAAGGTGTTAAAACCGATAGTGCTGTCAAAATGTAAATCCAAGTCCAAACACGTGTCAGAAAAAAAATTATGTGATAGTAACCAATCGTTAAATGCAATGTGGATTATACAAGTGTAGTTTTGAAACCGTGACATTTCTCGGGATGCACGGCATGTCACAGAAGTCATAAAGGTTCAATGTAAGAGAAAGTTTCGGGCCAATAGTTAAAAAAATACGGCTATAATAAATCGTTTAAGTTCGACAGTATTTCAGAATGACAGGACTTAGAATCGATAGCCGAGTTACCTCCTAGAAAATGACGCGGCTTTAAAACAACACCTTGTATATTATGATGCGTATACTCACCTGTCCAGGCGGCGTATGCGCTGTGCTCGAACGGGTGGCGCCGTGTACACAGGTGTCTCGGGGGTCGGGGGCGTCGGGGGTGTCCCGGTGGTCGCGGAGGTCGTAGGAGTTGTGGGGCTCGTGGGCGACTTTATCGGTGACGGCGGCAGCGGCAGTGTTGACATCAGCTCGCACAGGACACCGTGCACCGCATTTCTGCATCGCATCTGCTTTATAGACACGTCATTCTTCTTACTATTCTCATAGGATCTGTGCTTATATTAATATATGGAGGACCCCGGGACTGAACTTGATGAGCTTAGGAACCATGACAGTGATACCTTTACAGAAGTAGCCAGAGTTGTGGTGGACATGGGTATGACGACCATACATTTGCACACCTTAATAAATCGACAAATCCTGGCCAGAATTTGACGGGCTTTGACGCCATGGCTGTGATAGCTTTCAACCAGAAGTAGTCCAACCTGTGGCAGAAATGCGTGGCCGCCACAGAAATATTAAAAAAGGTGGCCGCCCATACATTTAACGAACTTAAAGCTCAAGTGATTTTCGTGACAAATATGACACTAGGGAAAGTTGGTCATTTAGAAAAACTTCCACCATCCATACAGAGTTTTTGGCGGTATGAATCACGAGGATATTCTCAATAATTAAGGAGTTAGATAATTTTGTTTACGACGTCGTCTCGAACTTACTTCATTTGAAAATTATGTTTATTTCAGCTACTGCCTGTTTGATTCCAGCGTCCACACATCGGTCATTAATAATGTACACTGCGGTGGCGTTACTTCCAGTTAAATATAAAGCAAATACTTTCTGATATCTCGTAGGTTACGTTATTTGCTTTAACTCGGAGTACATAAGGTGAGTTAAAAATGTGGCATATATTCAATTACCTTACCTGTCGCAGGTTCACTGAAAGAAATTCCAACAGGAATAAGTAGAACCTATGTACTTTAATTTATACAGGGTTATTGGTAAAACACCGACATCTCAAGACTATGTACCGAATAACTTTTGTTGTTTTTTTTACAAAACGTTAACCATTTACCAAAAAGAAATCTTGAGGATTTTATTGTCTTATCGAACACATTCCAGCTCTGTATTGCGCCGTACCAACATACCTACGCTGGCAGCGCACTGTCCGCAGATACAGGAACTTATCGAAACTTCCGTGTCCGGTAAGCACCTGCGTCAGGCGGTAGGTGAGGACGCCGTACCGTCTCTCAAGTCAATCCTCAAAGAGGGGATTTAGCAGTGCAATGACAGCGAGCCTAAGTGGTAATGCCTACGAATTATATTTTCAATATTAACCTTATTCTGTTGCGTGGCGAGGTCAGAAGAATGTGGCGGAGGTGAAGAGGTGAACGAGCGCGGCGAGAGTGCGGGGAGCTTGGGAGGTGTAGACACTGGCACTAACTGCACCGGGCCCGCCGGCGGCCGCACGGAGAAGTAAGCCGACCAGCGCGCTACTCTGCTGCGCGCCACTCCGTCCGCAGTGGCCACGCGGTCCCTGCGGACAGCACATTGGCATTGTTCGCTGGAAACTTCATAGTAATTTATAAGCAAAAAAACGTTAAATTTAAAACATTACAATTCGTTGAATTACGTGCCAATGTTATTATTGCCAATACGATCATAGCTTTTTGGACGTTTGTCATCTAAATTAATAGATACAGAGTCCTGGGGCTTTAACGCATACTTCCCGATCCCGTTGAATTTCTGGGATAAAAACAAAATATAAATATATATATCGTTTCTTAGGTTTCAAACTAACGTTGTACCTGATTTAACTCAAATAGATTAAATGAATAGTTCAATTGTTCAAAAGATAGGAAGTTCCGTAATTTTAACGCATACTAGTTCTCGTTCCGGTAGGATTCCAGTGATAAAAACTATTTTATGTCCTTTTCTGGGCCCCAAATCGTCGTTGTGCCGAATACCAATAAAAAATATAATATAATAGAGAGTGCCGGTTTTTTACCAGATATTTCTCGTTTCCGTAAGATTTCCCACATAATAATTCTACGTTATTCCTGGAGTACCTACTAAACTGTATTTTAACCAAATTTCATTTGAAACGATTTAGTAATTTAGTATGCAGGGATACTGGTAACTCGACGTATTCCTTGCAAGGCGTCATAGTAGGGTTGAAATGCAGCAAATTAGGACACCAAATGTTCTACCGAAGTTCAGTAGTTTTTTAGTTATTTAGATTTTTAGGTTTTAATGAAAAAATCCCAGATTAAATCATTTGGAGCCAATTTAAAAATGATTTACAGCGCGACTGTGCTGAAATTTCAGTTAATATCATAGTTGATGACGTAGCAGATCTTTGTAAATAATTAAAAGTTCAAAATTGCCAAAAGCTTTGGCAAATATCACTGAAGAAAGATTATATTTTTTTGTGATTTTCGCGATTACTTCACCCTTGTTTAGTGAAAAAATATTTACTAAACCAGATGTACAAGTTATTACAAAATATCCTTGACTTATCAACTATCCAAAAAGGTATGAAAGTTAATACAAAGTTAAGTTTTGTACGTCTCACAAAAAGGTGATTATTCGGAAAATCAATAAAATAATTTCGTGAATTACTTACCATTAGTTTTAATCAATATCAGTTTAACAACTACAGGACAGTCCGCTGTTAGTGTGTGTGTTTATACTTTCACACGTCTTGTTCGATGTGCTGCCTGCGGTTTCTAATTCGCTTCCTGTGTTCTGATTCGCTTCCTCACTTCAGTTTTTGTGATTCTTGATGTGATTGTTGCCCTCACCTGGTCTGCTGCATCTGTTATTCTCTCCCTTAGTTCTTCAATTGAATTTACTGGGTTCACATAAACTAGGTCTTTCATATGACCCCAGACGTAAAAGTCTAGTGGCGTAAGATCAGGGCTACGTGCAGGCCACGGAATCGGCCCACCGCGCCCTATCCATCGGTTTGGATAGGTTTCATCCAGCAATTGGCGAATTGTGATTCGGAAGTGGGCTGGACATCAGTCATGTTGATAAGTAATGTTTGCTCTTGTCTTCCGGTACATCGGCGAGCAGTGGTGTTAAATGATTTCTTAGGAAATCTTCATAAAGTTCCCTATTTAGTGTTCGGGGCAAAAAATGTGGGCCAATTAACCCGTTTGCTGGTTCTTATACAATTTCATTTGGTTTACATTAAACAGAGTATTAAGCTATCCATTTGGATGGTCGCGAAGACAGTTTGTTTAAAGTAACTTCGTCGTTTACTTTACTATTTTATTAAATTATACTTTGATCATAATTACTTGCTTAAATGGTATTTTAAAGTAAAATTTGATATACTTAGGATATTAAAAGTGTTTAAGAGCCATGCTTCGGCACGAATGGGCCGGCTCGACCGGAGTGATACCACAGCCTCACAGAAAATCGACGACGACTCACACGACGTGAGGTTACCGGAGGCCCAATTAGCCCCTCCCTAGTCCCCGTCTCCTGAATCCCTGAATCCTTCACAATCCTCAAATTCCCATTTCCCAAAAGGCCGGTAACGCACTTGTAACGCCTTGGTGTTTCGAGTGTCCATGGGCGGCGCCGATTGCTTACCATCAGGTGATCCGTCTGCTCGTTTACCGGCTTATGTCATAAAAAAAAACTGACGCTGATGACCAGATTTTGTAAGGTCGCACCCCGTGTCGTGCCGAAAGAACAATAGTGACCAATCACAAAGCTTGCCGATTGTTTGGAGTTGAAGCGCAGGTAAAAACTACGAATAATACGAATATGAAACAATAGATTGACCGTTGCGCTATTTTAACTGCTCCTCATAACACTTCTCCCTTCCCTGTTACACATGCAAAAGTATTGACAATCATACGTTTTTGGATGCTGATAAGACAAGGATATATTTCTAATAATTTGTACATGAGGCGTAGTAATTTTTTTTTCACTAGACAACATTTTGTGTGAAGTAAGAACGAAAATAACAAAAAAAATGTTTCTTCAGTGATATTTGCCGAAGTTAATGGCATTTTTGAACTTTTAATTATTTACAAAGATCTGCTACGTCATCAACTATGATATTAACTGAAATTTCAGCACAGTCGCGCTGTAAATCATTTTTAAATTGGCTCCAAATGATTTAATCTGGGATTTTTTCATTAAAACCTAAAAATCTATATAACTAAAAAACTACTGAACTTCGGTAGAACATTTGGTGTCCTAATTTGCTGCATTTCATCCCTACTATGACGCCTTGCAAGGAATACGTCGAGTTACCAGTATCCCTGTATAATATAACTATTGCAGTTCGTAAGTCAGTGTGATCTTTTTAATTTCATGTATATATGGGCATATGAGAACTGTGATATTTTTTTATTTTATTTTGAGAATATGAGATTCCAGGTGGAATTTGTCACTACTACCGCGGTACAGTATTTTTTCAGTAAAGTCACTTAAAGTAAGGTGAAAATATTGAGAACACTTGGTTCCTTTTCTAAACTACAGCATTTGGTTCACAATTTATGACTTCATAACACTGAAGCAGTATTCGGGATAACGTAAGCAAAAATGCAGACGAAAAAATAGATAATTGTAGCAACAAGAGTCAAAAGACTGCCATAGAGTTTACTTTTTCGTGGATGACACGTAAGTCTTTGTAATTTGAAAACTATCTAACTTGAAATTTTTAATTTTTTTTTTCTGATAACTATTAGAACCTTGCTGATCACCTGGTGCTATTGATCGTCGACTTCAGGGACACCTTGAAAATGATAATTATGTATATGCATGTAAGTGTATAAATTTATTTTGTGTCACATAAATTGAGTCCTAATACCTGTTACAGCTACTGTTGCACATGTCTGCATCACCCCATGTCTGACTGTTAGATAATGCCACCCGGTATCCGCCATCGTACATTATACAGAAGTATAAATTAATAACTAAACTATTCAGCTTTGTATAATAGATAAGTTGAGTTGTAACAAATAAATTATTTTTCTTTCTTTGTTTACTTATCATGCCCGACGCAACAAAGTGGTTCGCAGGTTGGAAGTCGGTCCCTGGACAGCGTGAGTCGGTCCAGCAGCACGGGGCAGGTCGGCGTTGTGGCTGGCGGCGGCGACCGAGAGCGCAGGCGCAAATACTCCTGCGCTACACCTGACCTGTTGCATGATATTAATTCATTAAAAGATTCGAACAATTCTATGGTTAAAAA